ATTTATTGTTCTCATTTTGTAATTAGCTGATGCTACTGTTTTGATGGTGAAGGTATCGCCGATCTCCAGAGTTACATGCTCCATTAAGAATCGTAGACATGAGTAATTTGTTCAGCATGTCGTTATTTTTGCCTGGTCTACACAGGGTTTGGATTAGTTTGCTATCCTTTTCTCGTTATCTTGGGCTACTTCCCATGGTAACTGTAACATCTAAGGCATTCGGTAAATAGTGCAGGATGTGTTGCGCTTAGTAGGATTGCGCATATTAATTTCGAGGACAGTCTTAGTAAATATCTAGCAAATACTTGCCTTTCAGGTGGTTTGCCTTAGAACCCTATTTGTCACCGAGTACTGGAACACTTCCCATAGCATTACTATTCAGGGACTGATGAAGTATAAACTAAATTTGCTATAACTGTTCTCTCTGTCCATACCGAAAACGACAATATTATTACTGCTGCCCTTAAGATCGGCCAATTTTGCCTCAAGCGCAACGTGAACGTATCTCACTTGTCTTTTTGGTGCCATGTGGGCCTTTTGGTGGGGAGACTCGGAGGGATACCGAAGTATGGCCTCTGTGCTACGTATGGTAGGGTAAAAGCTGCTGCATGTCTTAGCCTTCTGCGATTCTTCTCCGTGTCGATATTGCGACGTTCTACCTGTGGGTCATTAAGGCTCGTCTGGGTGTTGTCGTTTGCAGTCTTGATAAAATGTATTCAAAGTCGCTACATTTTGTCGAAGGGTATGACCAATTTTTGGCAAGACTGCATAGGTTGTACCAACGACGATGCTAAAGCCTAAAGAAAGTTTATGATGATGTTTTACTGTCAGAGTCTGTGTTTACCATAAGGGCTGGGTGGTGATACGCTTAAAGGGAATAAAGTTGAGCGGAAAGGTTTGTGTATAGAATAGTCGAATGAGGTCGTTCTCTTCAGTAGCAGAGGTTTGACAATCAGCGGTAGTGCAGTAGCGCCATTGGGCTTACCTTTCAGGCTCGATGTCTTGCTTCACCGCAGACTTGTAAACAGTTACCTGGTCGAGCAATGGCCATCTTTGTGCGCGAGTCATGGTCAGCTTTCATGTTACTACTGCATCTAGGACAGCTGCCGTGAACAATAATTTAGTATTACTGGGCTAGGGCGTCCTAGAAGCAGGAGTTCAGAGTGTGGGGTCGGTGATCTTACGTGCTCTCCAACATGGTTCTGTGGGCATACATACGAATTTTAATCTTTTCTCAGTCCTGCTCTCAGTCTAACCAAATTTTTATCCTCATGGGCAAGGTAGTCAGCCTTGTACACAGTGTCTAATCATACGCTCACACCACTGTTTGTATTCTCGTGATTGTCTTGGCAAATTGTCAGCAAGAAGCTAAGTCAGTGTCGTGCAGAGAGGTAAAGGGGAAAATTTAGCGGGTCAATAGGTGTTTTCAACTTCAAGAAAGGACGAAGAGGACAGCTGGCTGTAGTTTGCGAGTTGATCATAAGGGATTCACACATTG